GGAGACCGGGGAGCTGCGCCTCCAGGTACCGCCGGCCCGGCAGGACGCCCGGCGGGGTGTCCGGAAGCGGCGCGCGTTGCGAGGCTGGTTTCTCGTACGCCCCGCTTGGCTTTAGCTTTCGAACGTGCCGCTTAAAACGACACGCAAACCCCGGCATTTCCTTGCCCCCAGACGTGTTAGTGACACCGGCGCGGGGAAACGCGCCCGGTGCGAGCTGCCGTGCACGAGGGTGCAGCATGTGAGCGTCCTCTGGTAACACTTGCTGTGTGTAACTCCAGTTCCTGGGGTGGTTTTGTCACTGTGGTAAAACTGGTGAGCAGCAAATTAGTAATTCAGTTAACATTTCATATTTTAAAGTATCTTTTAAAATATCTTTAGCCTCAAGGCTCACAAGAGGCCAGAGCATTTGTAAATGCCTTCCTGAAGCTTAGCATGCCAAGAAAGAAAGATAAAGCTATCGAGGACATGCTGACTCGGAAGGCTGTTGTTCTTGAGCATTACGTGAAGAAAAAGACCAAGCAAAAGAGGAAGAAAACCAAAGGTTTTACTGCCAAGCAGAGGCGAGAAATGCGTCTTTTTGAAATTGAACCCAAGCAGCAAAAGTAAGAGCTTAAATATTTTCTTTGTGTAGCAGAAGTACATCAGTAGTTTGTAAAAGCAGCAGCACACACAAGCGGGTACTGGCCCTTCAGTATGTACAGTCAGTGTGACTTCACCCTGAGTACACAGCTCTCCTGTCTGTGCAGCAGGTAAATTCAGTTCTCCATCTGGTCTCTCTCCTTCTATGTACCCAACTACAACAAGATCAGACCCAAATACAATTACCCCTGATTCCAGATTTTCATTAGACTGCCTGTGACCAGAGAGCCAAAACTCTGCAATCACATTCCTCAAACCACTGACTAAAGCCCCGGCTGTTGTTAATAACAAGTGCAGAAAGAACTGAGTAGAAATGTCCTCAAACCTTAGATACAGCCTGATCTTCTAGAACACGTCGCCATTTTGTGTTGACAGCAAGGAGCATGCTTTGTGCATTTTTATAAAGCAACCCTGTTGTTTGGGTCAGGTTATGAAAACAGATTACAAAACTTGCAAACGGTAGTCTTAAATCTGTTGTAAATTTGGATTATTTCAGTAATAATCCAAGAGAGGTTTTGATCATTAAGTTCTTGTGTAACACTTTTTGTCTCTTTTACTGCAGGTATGACATCTTTCTACCACTACATCAACTCTGGAAACAGTATATCAAAGACCTGTGCCATGGCCTTAGACCAGAATCGTAAGTTGACGTATTTTGAAATGTGTGGGTCTGAGTTAGGTATTTCCAGGTTTACTGAGTTACTGCTTGATAAGGACATGCACTGTTTCTATAAGGTTTACAAAATGCGACCGTGACTACTGAAACCACACTCAAAGCTAACTTTCCATATAACTTTCTTTCCCTCTCCACTGATCCCACCCTCTTCTTCAAGTCAACCATATATTGTGCAGGGCAAACTGCTCAAAGCTGATCTCCATGGAGCAATCATTACAGGTATTCCATTTTGTCTCTTTTACAAAATTGTCTGGAGTTGAATAGACACTCCTGTGTTTCATATGCTTATTTTTAAATTCATTCAGTGTCATTTACTCTAGAATCACATAGTTGAAATCCCCTGTGGATGGATTCTTTCTCTACTTAGCAATGCTAATTTCTTTTCAACTGCTCTTGAAAACCATGTTGTTAGTTGCAAACATTAACTGCAAATTTTACTAGTGATTACAGTAAAATTGCATTATGTCAGAATATTATTAACCAGTTTTTAAAATTACAAGGTAGAAGAGCAAGTAAACTCTGCATCTGAAACTTTCTAATATTTCTGTTCTTTCAGTCACAAAATCAAAATGCCCCTCTTATGTGGGGATAACGGGAATCGTTCTACAGGAATTTAAACGTGTCTTCAAAATTATCACCAAAGAGGACAAATTAAAAGGTTCGTAACAATTTTCTGCAGTGCTTTTCACAGTTTGAATAATCAGAACTTTTTTAAACCCACTATTCATCTCACACCTCTGAGTACATCGGTTTATATCAGTGTGTTTAGCTCTTTCTGTAGAGTGCCAGAGGTCAATGTCTTTGACCACATAACAACCCAACAGCTTACAAAAAAAGTATCTCAGAAATGAGCAGTTCTTAAAAAGGCACTTCCAGTGAACCTACCATGGTCATGCACATGGCTCATTCATCTCATTCACATCAGATATTTTTTGCAACACTGCATGCTCCTGAAAGAGGACTAACTTTAGTAATTCCAGTTTAAAACTTAGAGGGTTTGGTTATTTTTTCTTTCCTTGCTAAAGCATGAACTGTTTGAAATGGGGCAAACCTCAAGTCTACATGTGAATAATATCCCTGGGTACCTCTGTATGTTTTCATAACAGGGATTTACATTAGTCTACTCTTGTTAATTTCTTTCCTTTTACATTTCAGTTGTTCCCAAACTTAACAATGTATTTAGTTTTGAGATTGATGGATTCGTTTCCTACATCTACGGAAACAAGTTCCAGCTTAGAGCAAGTGAGCGATCTGCAAAAAAATTCAAGTTCAGAGGATCTATTGACCTCTGACTTCATGGAAAATCAGAAGTATTACTAGGAAGGTCTGCTGGTTTCCTGCAGTTTAAAGACCAGGTTTTCTGGCAGATTGAAAATGGAATAGCTATGTGAAGTATTCCTAAAGCATTTCTTCTTAATCAAGAATGACTAGTGTTGCTTGTCTTTAAAGCAGTCTCTCAGACTGCTGGAATTTATATGTTTTGTTATTTGTACATAACATTCTGACTTTTATTAAACTTTTATGATTAGTATCATAAATTTGCACAATGAAAATCATGTCTTGTAACTGATAAATGTTATTGTCGCTTTCTCTGTAAATCAGACTTTATCTACCTGTTAAATACTGACAATGAGACTGCAGGTGCTGACAGCTCTCATAGGCATTTCTCCTGGGCCATCTTTAACATATTTGCCTGGTACAAGCATATGCAAGTAGATTGTTTCAACTGATAGGTTTCACTTTGAATTTCTCCTTCCTTGTGGGTAATATTGCTACAGATAATGTGTATATGAGTAAAAATACAAACAAGCATACAGAGACATGTTTTCTAAGTAATAAAAAGTTCTAGTCCCCTTATTATCCCTGCTGCAGCCACTGACACTTTCCCACTGAAGACCACTGGATGGCTAATTCCCAGCTCCTGCTATTTATGCCCCTCCCTTAGCACACACTACAATTTGCCTAATTTATCTCCCTTTGCCTCCATAAAGGGAGGCCTGACCTTAAGTCATCAAAGTACAAGGCTTCAGCTAGTCCACAAGCTCTCCTCTTGGGCATCAGCCCCATCTTCTTCAGCCTACACACCACAGGAGGCTGGAGCAGCATCTGCAGGGCAGAAGGTCCCCAACAGCCAGTAGCGGCTATATCAGACCAGTCTCCTGCACCACCACAGATGAGGCAAATGCCCAACTGGCCTCTTGGAGCACCTAAACTCCAAACAAGCTCTCTTGAGATGGAAAACACTTCAGTACCTTGAAAGACTAACCCCTACCAGCTGTGTCTCCTGCCCCAGCTGCACTGCCTTCCTGCACCCAGAGTGAGCTCCTTAGCATGCGAAGCCTCCCTGAGTAAAGCACATTACATAACAAATGCTCACCCTCATTCATCCTGTGAGACAAAAACTGGATTGACAGAGCTTGTAACAGCCGCAGCCACTGACACTTTCCCACTGAAGACCACTGGATGGCTAATTCCCAGCTCCTGCTATTTATGCCCCTCCCTTAGCACACACTACAATTTCCCTAATTTATCTCCCTTTGCCTCCATAAAGGGAGGCCTGACCTTAAGTCATCAAAGTACAAGGCTTCAGCTAGTCCACAAGCTCTCCTCTTGGGCATTAGCCCCATCTTCTTCAGCCTACACACCACAGGAGGCTGGAGCAGCATCTGCAGGGCAGAAGGTCCCCCCCAGCCAGTAGCGGCTATATCAGACCAGTCTCCTGCACCACCACAGATGAGGCAAATGCCCAACTGGCCTCTTGGAGCACCTAAACTCCAAACAAGCTCTCTTGAGATGGAAAACACTTCAGTACCTTGAAAGACTAACCCCTACCAGCTGTGTCTCCTGCCCCAGCTGCACTGCCTTCCTGCACCCAGAGTGAGCTCCTTAGCATGCGAAGCCTCCCTGAGTAAAGCACATTACATAACAAATGCTCACCCTCATTCATCCTGTGAGACAAAAACTGGATTGACAGAGCTTGTAACATTCACCAGACCATGGTCCTACATACTGTGTCAAATTATTTGTTGACAATGGACAGTTCCATGGAATTTCTCAGAGGTTTGACCCATCTTTATCTCACGCTTCCCTTCCTTAATTCTGTCGTTCCTATGGTAACTAACTCCAATTCTGAGTCACCCTTCCCCACAGCCTGTGATGAAAATGTAGGCTTCTGGTACAGCAGAAACCTCCCTCTGTGTACTGGTTTAATTAAATTAACAAGCACATGTGAAAAATGGAGGATGAAGCATCCACTGCTGCTGAGAGGAGCAGCTACCCCTGGCAAACACAGACCTGGGCTGCAGAACGCAGTACCTGGCGCTCTGCCTGCAGACAGGTTTTGACACCCAGCCCTGTACACTGCCTATTGGACAGGGATTATGGAGAACTACAGAGAACCCAGCAACATTAATACTGAATTAAAAGCTCTCCACATTAAGAGAGCTCTCTGCTGCTTTCTATTGTTGTTTTAGATAAGGTACAGTACCTTAAAACCATTGAGGGGCAAAAAATACAAATTGAATTAATGTAACTGACTTTGAACCAGGATGCTGAGGGAAAAGGCGTAACCTAAACTTCACCATCCTCAGGCTGCTCCCCACCCTATTTTCAGGCTATTGCCTTTTTCCTAACTATTGCCAAACAACACTGATTTAAAACATGCTATTTTCATAGACTTTCAGGCACCAACCAGTCTTTAAATAACCGTCACCTTGTATAGGCAACTGAGCAGCATGTTAGAGATCTGCAGTACAGGCCTGTTAATAGAAATCTCTTATGGTGTATTAGTTAATAAATTCAGTCTTACTTCTTACAGCTCTCAGAATGAGCTCCTAGCCTCATGACATATGTACATGCTTTTGACCAAGACACTAATCTTAAAATATACAAAAATATATAATATAGATAGAACAATAACTATAATATTCATATAATAGTTTCTGGGAAGTATGATATTACCAGAAACGCAAAAGGACTTCGGCTTGACCTCACACATTTTAAAACAATATCGAAAATGGAATATAAATGCTGAAGTCCTCATATGCTTGTTAAAGGCGAAAGTTAAAACTTCAAAATCAAAACCTCAAGCATGACTGTACCACTGGTCTGTCAGCCATGTGGCTCCAGAGCCCCAGGACTGGGACAAGTTTAGGGAAACGTGTTTGTTGTGTATCGGAGTCCAGCTGCCAAGACAGACCTCTAACTACCAGCTCCTTGGCCATCCCCTACTGTACACACAGTATCTGCCCCAGAACAGACTTAACAGCACTGTTATTGTGGGAAGGGAGGAAAAATAGGTTTATGCACTTCTTGTAAATGTTAAAATAACCCCATAAATCTAAAGGATTTCTCTCTGTGTGTGAAATTGTCTGCAACACTCTGCCATGCATATTCTTCCTCTAAAGGATTATTTCAGAATTATAGGCTCAGAAATGTTCAGCTGAAGAGTTACTTCTTGAGTGGCTGAGGTGCCCACTCAAGAATTTAAATGATGTAATAGCTATTGAACACCCCGTTATATAGCTGCCTAATTAATGTGAATGATAGTTACGTCTCACTCACAAAGCATTATTTTACACAGAGGAAAATCTACTCATTGCCACAGTAGCCATTTCAATAGGTTTTACAGGAGGACTTGCATTATGGCTTCATTGAGTAGAAGGTAAGTAGCCGTCCTAAATAACGAAGATTGAAGGTTTAACAGTCCCAATAAAGAATCCTGCAGGTTTTTTGTTTCAAAAATTAGAGTTTGATTGCAAGTGTATGATAACGAGAGGGAAAAGAGCACTGGGACTTGGAATCCTTCCACAGCCCAGGCTCCTGGGGAACTTCCATTTCTTTTGTGCAGAAATATAGAAGAGTAAGGACAGAAAAAAAAGAAAGTAAGATCTTTACTTTCCAAGCTCCAAGCCTCTCCCTGTGACACAATTTCAGTGGATAAGGACATACTGGATTGTACCTGTTACACTCAGAAGGCTGACATTACTGGAGCAGCTGCATACAGCTGATCAGATACACACAAATACTCTAAAATATTGTGAAGAGCCCAGCTCAGACACATTTGAGTGATGATATGCAGACATAAGCCAGCCTTGCAAACTTGTCTCACAGTTGTAGCCTATTACAGCAACTCTTTTTTGTGAGGCAATAGTCAAGGGACTTGACTATTTCTGTTATAAGGCCCTATTTCCAAGGTTATATATCAGAGATTTTAACAGCTATAAAAATTCAAATGAGATTTAAAACTTGGCATTTACATTCTTTAAGCAAATCTTTGCAGGAAAAGCTGAAAGTTTACTTGTTCCACTTGTTATTTTAGGTCTCTTGTTACATAATTCTCAATATAGATCCTTACACACTCCCCATCACAGTACCATCTCAGCTGCATTTTCAGAATGGCAGTTCAGAGCTAGGACAGCTGATTTGACATTGTTTCTCCAAACAACAAACTTCCAAGAAGGGTATTTAAATCTTTAAGATTACTTAGAAAACCTCAGGCTTACCCAGAGAGCAATAACATCTTCCTGTTTTAAACAATGACTTACTTTTTTTTAAAACAAAATGAGTTACTGATGTGAACAGATTGAGTAGTCGAGCTCAATCAAGTATGTGCAGTATGTGCTGTAACAACATTCGCTGTCTGCTGAAGAAATAAAGCAGCTTTATTTTCTTTAGACTTCTGGCAGTCTACCTCAGAGAACCGTTCATTCCTGCATCTAGCCAGGTACCACCTCTGTGAAGACATATCATGAATTTTAGCTACATTTTTGGGGAGGGGAAAACAAAAACGTCCTACAGCTATTGTCAGGAGACACTATCAGCACCTACATGAACATCAAGCTTTGCTGGTATGGTCCACACGCAGTGCTCTGATCAAACATCGGTTTTGTGTAGGAAGACAAGCCGCTTCTGGGGCTGCACACTTCAGAGAATGTTTCAAAGGACAGTTTTCTCCCCATGCAGTAGAATAGTTTGTAGCTTCAGGAAAACTACATTAGTAACTCGTGGCTTGCATCTGAGGGTCAGGTATTTTAATTTATTATTGCTGCTGCTGGTTTTGTTGCAGCTAACTTAAAGATGTTACAGAAATATTCTCACCTCCTTCTATGCCCAGAGCAACACATTTTGCTTTGGTATCAGAAGATGGAGCCACATGCTGACAGTTTTAAAGTGATTCCCCCCACCCCGTTCTGACAGAAGAACCACCCATGAAGCAGACAGTGCCTAGAAACTGCTCCTTTACCTTACATGAACTTGCCTTTTTACTGTGTCTGTGTGTGCTGCTGATCTG